CCACATAAATTTTGTTTAGTGTAATTAATATTTTATTAATTTATAGTATTTATCTTAAACAGTTTATTATAATTAATATTTAAAAATATTAATTTATAAATTAATTGTAGATTATCAAATAAGAAATATTAATCATTTTATTGATTATTAATTATTTTAACAATGAAATTAAGTAAAATCAATATTTTCAAAATCATTATTATGTAACCTTAATTAATATTGTACCGCATGGCTATATCCTCGCCCGATGTTCTGAGGCCAATAATTATATATATGGCAGCAATAATGGTGATGTGGGTGCCTAAACTGAAGGGGGACAGGGCATGATTTTTATGTAACTATCAACCATATGATATATCATGTAGATGAATGTGAATCCAATGTCGTTAGGTATAGTCTCGGCCCATTAATTAATTGTTGATGACTATGTGATCTTAATTCTCAACCAACCATATAAATATATATATGCTCAATTCATCTTAAATTAAATACTTATGACAAAACAAAGTTAATGTGACTACTAGTAATATTTTTTGTTTTTTTACCTTTATATTACATTTGTCTCAAAATAATTATCGTTTATTGGACTTAAAACTTATTTTTTAATTTTTAAATATAAACAAATACTTTTTATTTTAATAAGGAAAAATATACATGATTTTTAACTTCTTAATTTCTGAAAAAAAGTCAATAAATAACAATTATTTTAAAGTAAAAAAGTAATACTTAAGATCAAAAAATAAAAGTAATAATTAATTGATGCAAAATTTTGTTTAAAAAAATCGAGAATATCAATATCAATCTAGTTTTTTTTTTAACAAATTTACAAATAATATTAATATTTTATGAAAAAAGAGAGTTTCATCACTCCAAAAATTCAAGCATTAAATCTGAAGATATTTTTATTTAAAGAGTAAATCACATATCACTTAATTTGAACGTGTGAAATATCAATATCAATCTAGTTGTTCAGTGAGGAAGCATATGTATATATAAATATATTCCACATTTAAAACATTATTTTGACCCTTCCCTACTACAGTACGTGCAACCAATCGTACAAGAAAATGGCACATCGTTAGGACTTCAAATGGTTCACAGTTCTTCTCACCTATACCCACACAGAATTTAATTAAATTTGGCCTTTTTTTTTTTTTTTTGGTACAATTTGGCCTTTTGTTTGGTGAAAAATATAAATGTATTCACGTCATATGACTTTTAGGTTAACCTTGACGGAGTCAGCAGAACCAAACTCCGAGTAGTACCATCTGCAAACTTCCAAGATTTGATCAACTAGGTTCCTTGAAACCTCCATTCCATTCGAATCTAGATCTGATATGCGATGGGACGTAACATTACTGATTGCTTTTTGCGCATCGTTGTGGTCCTTTGATGTGCTCCATGTTTCACGTCTTAAGTTTCAACTCAATTAAAAAAACAGTTTTGTCAAGATTAAAAGCAAGCCAATTATCGACTGTATGGGGAC